ACACACACACACACACACACACACACTTATGTAACTGTTGTGGCACTTGTTGGCTTATCTGTGGAAGCTTTAAGAAGATAGCATGTCTAAATAAGCATGGATACAAAAATAGCCTTTATGTTTGAAAGGAGGCATAGAAAATAATAAAGCAAAATGAACGGTGTTTAAGGCAAAGGCACTCAACAGACTGGGATTAGGAACATCTACCCCATGTGTGGGGCCCAGTAGAGCTCCTCTCTGATCACAAAAATGTGTTATCCTATATAGGTGAGACCCCTGATGCTCCTAGGGTCAGATCAAACTGCTGAGTCGTACAGTGAAGGACTTCAATTGCTCTTATGGACCCTTCCAAACTCAGCACTGTCATCACCACTTAGAAGCAGGGCTTCCCTTGTCCCTCTGGTTGGCCTCTGCACCCCTTTGCTTCTGCCTCTGTTCATTTCCATGATTTTAAGACCCAACTTCTTTCCAACTCCTTATTCCCATCCTTCACAAACTTCTATCTAAGCTCATAGATGCTTATAGCCCCTGCGAAAAACAAGCTTGATTTGCACAGACACACTGCTTTGGTTGGTTCAATCTTTGAATGTTTCATATTGGGGCAGGTTTTGACTTTGAGTATACTACAGACTGAGAAATAAAAACAAGCCACCTCTTTCTGTGATAGTCTCACAGCTGTTGATGTGGCTATAGGGGGATGGAAGGCACTTAATGTTTGTTCCTTGAATTAAAAATGCTTGGTCCTATTTAAGACATCGTGTCTTTAAGAGAAGCATATAGTGAAATAAGAAAACATAAATAAAATACATATTTAAAAAGAAGATCTTTATGCAAGAAGCATAAGGAATTCAACTGCCACACAGGTCTCCCTGGATCATGACTTCCTTCGCCAACTCAACAGTGGGAACAGCCCCAGATCACCTTGTATCTTCACCCACACACAGTGTGCTCACACAGGCTGTCACTCCCATCATGAGCATCAACCCTGGACTCTGAAAAACTGCTAGGACTCAGTTCCTTAACCAGAAAGCCACATTTACCCAGTTTTGTTTGAGGTGCCTCTGTAGTTGGTTTGGTTTTAGGTTTGAGACGTGGACGACGGGTCCGTTTTGATGTTTTGGGAGCTGAAGAAAGAAAATCTTCAGTTACTACATAATCTGCAGTTCAGAAGCTATGAACAGCATGATATGTGGCTCTAGATTTCCTAAACCTTGCTAGATTTCCTTTTATTTTAGGAAATGTGTCTAACTTTTTAATTTGAAAGCTTTCACCCTTATTCTAATAGTATGTCTTTTTTTACAATTGAAATTTCATTGGGGATGAGTCATATATAAAATTATTAATTCAAGAAGTGAAGGATCATTCATAGGACTCTTCTATTGAATAAGAAGGGTACAAATAACTGCTAAAATATTCCGGAGGTGGTTATAGGCACATACAAACTTGTTGACAGCTTATTAAAATTAGGCCATGTAATTAAAAAATGTCAATCAAAGAACAATTATCGCATAGGTAATTAAAAAAAAAAAAGTAGACCTTTAGATCCACAAAAAAAAACCTCCCTGACACCATATAGTCATTAGAGTCAAGGGAATTGCTTTTTTAAATCCAACTTTAACAAAGCATTGGTTAAAAAACATACAAGATAAAAAACAATTTCAGACGGTTACATGCATAACAGATGACTTCAGTTAGCATCATGCATGGCTCTCTTAAAAACAAGGGATAACTTGTCTTAAGAGTCAGAATCTTTAATGCTTTTAGGATGAAGAATATAATGAAGTGACAACAGAGGATGGGAATGTAGCCTTATGAAACAAAAGAACCTATAGTTATGATGTTGATGGAACGAGTTTAACAATGAGAAGTAGAAGCACTTATTGAGGATCACAATTTGTTATTACCTTGTGTTGTCACCCAAGCCTCGGTTACGTATATAACAGGTTCATAATCTGCAGTAGGAACTGACCAAAAGTATTAAAAAATAGACCAAATGATTGTTTTAAATGAAAGAAAACTTAAACATGCACTTCAAAATGAATCTTACTAGTACAATATAGTTTCAAGAACTAGATAGCAACTTTTAAAAACTATTAAACTAGAAAAGTAAACAGTTGACTTCCTAAAATTTGTCCATCCCTAAGTCAGGTACTGATTTCCTTATTCCTCCATCTTCGATTATCTGATTCTAACTAATAGGTCAAAGTGGAGTGTATGAGCATTGCTAAGAATTTATCTTTGAAAAGAGACTGAGGCCTCAGTATGATGAATCAGATAGACTATCCTTCCATTCTAACCAAAGAAAGAGCATTTCTTCATGTGCAAAAAGCTTGCTGATGTCTACTGGATCCAATCTCAACTGCTCCATCAGGTGCCTAAGGATCGCCATCATGGGAGTCCATGGACTGATCTAGACCCAGAAAATATCTGACGTTGAAGTCAGATATTCTCTATACTAGTGTTGCAGTTTGACTTTTTCCTCTGGTTAGTCTCTATTTTTATCCACTCTTTCTGATTTTATTCCTCCCCATCTTTCTATTTAACCATGTACTATGGTGATTTCAAGGCTCCACTCTTCCTTAGTCTATCTTTTCATGATCTAAATATTACTCTTGAGATCCTGCTGGGTTATGCTGCTGGGACTCTAAACCAGGAAAACATATTTACCTGGTTTGAACTTAGGAGTTTCAGGACGTGGTGTGATTTTTGGTCTGAGATGTGGACGAACTGTCCATTGTGATGGTTTGGAAGCTGAAGAAAGAAATTCTTGGATTACTATGTAATTATATTGTCTGGTTCTGAAAGCTACTGAAGGTGAAAACATGACTANACTGCAAAAGGCTGGAAGAATTCTTTAAACCAGAAACCATAGATTTTCTTGGTTTCAACAGAGAAGCTTCAGGAAGATTAAAGTTTGGGAGGAGGATGGGTTTTTGTTCTCCATATTTTTGAAAGAAAGAGAATCTTGGGTTGCTATGGTCTAAAACCATCAACAGCATTGTATGTGGACTAAAACATATTAGATTTTGATTTTATTTCCAAAGTTTGAAAAATTTTACTATACTAACATAATTTACTCCTTGTCATCACTGAGGGCCCTTTAGAGGCCAAAATAATATACAAAATTTATTAATTAATTAAAGGAGTAAATAGTAATATGCATAATTAGATACTCAGAGAGATTCTTACTTAGTAAAGATTAAGAACCATTGCTAAACTGTCTTGGGGAATAAGGTATAGTCAAGTTCATGAATGGTTGGGGAACCTGTAACTTATATTTACTAGGATTGGCACTTCTAGGAAGCAACTTTCTTTTGATAATTTAATATAACATGGAATCTTCATTCCTCAAAACAGGAAGAAAGTAATGAGAATGCCACACTGATCTTATAGAGAGTAAAGTTACTCAGAGAAAGTTCATGGTACTTAATTGTCATTGTTTCATAGAGGTAAATACCAAATAGAAGGGAAGCAATTTAGACTTCAGACTCTTCAGTGGACCACATAATGAAATTTTAAAGGGGGTTTCATGCCACATAGATTTCCTCAGCTGGATCTAGGTACATCTCTTAAAAACAATAAGTAATGGATGGATCATGAGATTATCATGCTAAGTGAAATAAGTCAGAAAGAAAAAGTAAAAAAACATATGACTTCACTCATACATGGGATATAAAACTGAAAGCAGCAAACAAAAAAACAAAAACCCATAGTCAAAAAACAGTTTAGTGGTTACCAGAGGGTAATGGGGGAGGATGGATGGTAGAAGAGGGTAAAGGGGATCAAAGATATGGTGATGGAAGGAGAACTGACTCTGGGTGGTGAACATACAATGCAATATATAGATGATGTATTATTGAATTGTACACTTAAAATCTATATAATTTTACTAACCAATGTCCTCCCAATAAATTTAATAAAAAAAACAATAGGTAACACTTGATTTAAGAATCCTGACTACTTATAAGATGAAATAAGAAATGGAATGACAATAGCAATCTAAAGAAGCAAGAACAACTCTGATCATGACAGTGATGGAGCCAGTTTGGATGAGCAGAAAGCATTTAATGAGGTCATAAAAATCATCACCTAATGTTCCTGGAGCCTCAGAGCTATGAATAACAGGTTCAAAGTCTGTAGTAGAAATTAACGAAAATCAACAACAAAAAAATGAGAAAGTTTCAAAACACATAGAAGGTCTTAATTTTTCTTTCGAAACATTAGTTTCAAATGACAACTTAAAAAAATTTGAATTGACAGGAAGCAATCAAACTGTAGCTAGGAACAATTGATTGCAGAAGGTAGTTACAACTTTTGAATTAATTCTGTTATGTATCTTATTATGATCAACATGAGGTTTTCCTAGGTGTTGATTTTCTGATTCTAATATGGAAGTTTGTTAAGAAAAGTCTGTTTAGGTAATATATTTATGAAAGCAACATGTTGCACTTCTTGGAAGTTCACAAAATACTTATGTTTATGTAATCATGACTACAATAAATAGATCACATGTTTAAATGCAGATAGAACAATAAATAACCACAAGTGACTATGTCAATTTTGCTATAAACACATCTTTAAAGAGAGACCAAGAATGCCATCCAAGAAGCAGTTTCTAACCATACCTCACACCTTGACTCTTAGAGAATCTAAAGACTGTTAACTTCCCATCAGAAGTATTGTTTTGGGACCCTGCTGGGACAAACTGGTAGGGCTCATCCCTCAAACTATGGATAACACATTTACCCCATTTGGTGTGAGGTGCTTCAGGACTTGATGTAGTTTTAGGTCTGGGACGTGGACGATGGGGTCGTCGTGATGTTTTAGAAGCTGAAGGAAGAAACTTTGGATTACTCTCGTGAAGGTAGTTTTGGAAATAGATTTTCTAAAACATATTTTATTGAAATTTAAGGTATATATTTTTTTAAATTGAATTTTTTCTCCTATTCTGTTAATTTTTTTTAATCACTGAAGATTCCTGAAAGATAAAACTCATACATAAAATGAAGTCGAGGAATGAAGAGTCTGGTATATCTCTAACTTCAAAAAAAGGTAGGGACTATAGCCAAACTGCAGGTCATGCAGTGTTAGGCTCACACTAAGAAATTTGAATATGCTAAGAAATCCATGGTACTATATCAATTGTTATGTTTATGTTTAGCTGGTCTAGAGAAGATACAGACATTACCAACTGTGTTTGGAACTCAGCTTTAAATGTGAGTTCTGTTTAGACAAAAGTACATGACACTGTTTAGACAAAAGTACATGACAAAAATTCAAATAAAGTTACATGGTAGACAGATGTTCTGATCTTAAGTCCATGCATAGCTTTTAAAAACAACACGTAACTTCTTTAAGAGTCTTCAATACTCTTAAGAAGAAGAAAAAGTTAAAAGACAACAAAGAATAATGAGACAGTCCTTTGAAGTGGATGACAATGTGATTATGATGATGATGGAATGGGTTGACAATGAGCAAAAAAAAATTGATGAGAAACACAGATTATCATTACCTAATGTTGTTTTTGGAGCCTCGGTTCTAAGAGTGACAGGTTCAAGGTCTGTAGGAAGAACTGGCCAAAAATAATAACATAAGCCAAAGAGATTTTAAAAATTCACTTGAAGACTAATTTCAGAAGTCAACTTTTAAGCTTCAGACCTGAGAGAAAAGAGACACTTGTTCTTTGCAGATTTGACCAAACGATGACCAAGTACCAATTAATCTCATAGGATAAACATAGCACTGCACTCTGCTAAATATCACTGTGGTCAACAAGAAATTCTCCTAAATGTTTTGATTATCTGACTCTTGCTAATATGGAAGACTATGATGAACAAGTTTTCTACACATTTATATAAAAAAATACTTTTCTAACTCTACTGGAAAAGCATTCATCAATCTATTTGCCCTTCTGTACAAGTTGAGATAAATGTCTACTATTTTTGTCTATTTAAATAATCACAGTACAATAATGAGTTCATATATTTGAAAGCATAAGGATCAATGCATAATGAATGAACTGTGCTCATGAAAACTTCAAAGTGGTCCTTCATTCAATAAAATCTCAGAAACATTTTTTTAAACCTGTCAGAAAAATAGAGTCAGCCTACCCTATCATATAAGCCTATCATTTAAACTTTTAAGACTTAGGACACTTTGAACTTTCACAATTAACTAAAGACATTATTCATTGAAAACATGGTATTTCCACAATTAATGAGACATAAACAGTGAAAATAAGGAATATATGGAAATTCATGTTTGAAACGAAGCTTAAAATAGTCAATGCTGCTTAAACAAATGCACATGATCACATGACACAATGTTGAGCAGATACATGGCAGTTTGATGTCCTAAAATTAGATTGTGCTCAGTTCTCTCTAAATTCAACAGATAACTTGATATAGAGCTTAGCATAATTTCAAGAAAAATTTTGTAATGGAACGACACAGAGGATGTTGAAATGGTTTTTAGAGACAGGAGAGCCTGTAGCTACAACAATGAGAAGGAAATGACAAAAAGTAGGAAAAGCACTATTGGAAGGACACATATTCTCATTACCCATGATTTCTGGAACTTCAGTTCTAGGAGTACCAGGCTCAAGATCTGTAGTAGGAACTGATCAAAAGCAATAAAATAAACATGTGTGAAAAGCCAGCAAATTAAATCTTACCAGTACAATGTTGCTACAATAGGTGCACAACACTTAACATTTTTTTGTGTGAAATTAAATTCTGTTATTTAAAGATTTGGTCACCCTATAGCCAGGTAAACATTCTTTTATGAGACAATCATAGCCTACACAATCTGGCAAGTATCTCAATAAAGGCAAAACGATATTTTCCTAGGTGTCTAAGTACCTCATCCCAACTATTATTAATAATAGAAGACTGCCCTAGGAAACTTGTTTCAACAGTTTATCAAATATATATATATATATATATATATATATATATATATATACACACACACA